ACCCCTCTCTGCTGCTGCCCTCGACACATGCGAGACACGATCACTGTCAGATCGTCCTTCTTCCCTATCATCGACCTATCCATCCTATTCTCCGTCCTCTCCCGCAGCCTTCCTCCAAGCCGCTCGACGAGGGCCCCGTCCCCGAAGTCACCGAGTACCTCCTCCGACATGGTCTCCAACGCCGATCTTCTCGCGCGGTCGTCTGAGCCCAGGTTCTCCCAGAAGCCGTCGCTTCCTGCCACGATGATGTCGCCTGATCGCGCACACCTCTGCTGCAAGATCTCGTTCTTCCTGTCTCTGTACTGCCGCATGTGCCCTTGGTCCATCCCCGCCTGGTACGGAGGTCTCTCGCCGTTGACCCGCGGAGAATGGAAGCGAGGGGGCGACAGGTAGTCGCAGCGAACCCTGTACAGACATGTCAGCGACCCGCGGCTTGCTGTCAAGACCACCCTTTCTCTCTCTCTCTCTCTCTCTCTCTCTCTCTCTCTCTCTGACCTGCGTGGAGAAGCGTCCAAGGTCAGCAGCGCCCACTGGCTGTCGCCCAGCTCGAGAGCATCGATCATGATCTCGTCCCTGCCTCTTCCCGGTGTGAGCCGAAGCGCTACCACAGTCGAAGACGCGATTTCGTGACAGCCAGAGGTCTGAGGCATGCGCATCCTCTGGATGCAGTACTCAAGCTTTTCAAAGAGATCGCCGTCCATGTTGACAGGCCTTGCCATGCTCTCTACAAGCTTCCTCGCAAAGATCCCTGACCGATAGCCTCCCTCTCCTACCCCGTCACAGAGCACAGTCAAGCTGTCTTTGATCTCGAAGGCGTCATCATACGGCAGCCAACCGTGATAGCGAGGGTCCATGTGCTTGCCTGGCTTGCCCTTGAGGCCCACGTACGCCTCGCTGAAGATGCAGCTTCCAGGCTCTGGCCCAGGTGCCTGGGGCTTCGCCAGCCGCGGGTCACGGGCGGGCCGTGCGTACGGCCTGGCGACTGGGAGGTCAGCTCTGGAGCTTGGGGATGCTCCGCTCTGGGCTGGAGGGACGGCCAGATGACTCTCTTGAGCAATCATGCCGTCTTGGAGCGCCATGCCGTGCATCTGCCGCATGGCTGTCTCGGGAGCTGTCCTCTGCTGCTGCTCGCTGTGTTGTTGCCTTGTACGGGGATGGAGCTGCGACAGCTCCTGCTGCCTCGCATGAAGGTCATCCTTGAGCCTTGCTATCATCTCCGACAACTGTTTGTTGAGCGTCTTCTCTTCCTGCAGAGCAGCCTGAGCATCTGCCCGCTTTGTCTGCTCGCGTGCGAGGCTGGCTTGAAGCGCTGTGAGGCGCTGCTGCTGCTGCTGCTGCTGCTGCTGCTGCTGCTGCTGTGCAGCTTGAGCCTCCAGCTCCATGCGTGTCTCTCGTTCACGGCTTAGCTCCGTCTGCAGTTTCTGTATGCAGGCCTCGAGGTCCCTGGTGGTGTCGATGGCTTGCTGGCGAGCTTGCTGGGCGGCAGCATGGGCTTGCCTCTCAGCCTCAAGGCTCTTGCGCAGCTCGTCAATCTGCTCCTTGGCTTTGCTTTGGGTCGTTTCTATCGCGCCGGCCATGTCCTGTACCTCTCCAAGGCCGTCTTGTAGCGCCTGTGCGTGTAGTTGCGACTGAGCGGCTTGCTTGTGGAGGGCGGACTGGGCGGTGCGCCGACACTTGAGCAGCAGCTCATGATACCTGACCGACTCGATCTGGTACTGCTTTGTCTTCTTGGTTTGATCTTCAAGCCTCTGCTCGAGTTGAAGGATCTCTAGCTTGAGCTCTTCCATGCCGAGCTCCTCGTCCTCACCGTCGGAGATGATGATGGCATCGCTCGCTTCATCCCCGGGCAGAGCGCCTGCGAGGCTGTCCTGATGGCTACCCGTCCTGCTTCGTTTCCTGCTTGGCAGCATTCCAGTCTGATGAGAGCGGGTGGGAAAGTGCAAGGCGATTTTGTAGGGATGGACCGGGAAGTGGGGGATGGGAGAGGAAGGGGGTGGGGTGGTGACCGTGCTGGACAAACGCGTGGTGCTGAGAGGGAGAAAGACGGGTGACCGCAGGTGAGTAGATCCGGAGAGGGTGGGGGTGGTATATGCTGTGAGAGTCTCTAGGCAGTAGGAGAGGCTAGTGGGGGGTAGGAGGAGTGGTAGGAAGGCTAGGGCCCGGGGTTTCTTACCACTGATTCAGGTTCAATCTCGGTACTAATGAAATGCTTTGAGTCACTACGGTACCATCAAAGGCGTTGAGTAAACTTGTCGAAGGCGAGGCGGACTCGCCTGGCTTCCGAGGCTGCCCAAGGTTGTCCGATCTATGCGATCAGTTCCAGTGATTGCGGGGCCCGGCAGCCGGGAGACTGCCCGGCATCCTGTGACCGGGCACTCAGTGTCGGATCAGTTGCGCGCGGCGGGCCCCACTATACGGTACTTGACGATCCCCCTTGTGACCTCGTTGACGAGGTTTATGTCACAGCCGCCCTCGCAAAGCCCCTCCATGCGGACCTCAACCCCTCTCTGCTGCTGCCCTCGACACATGCGAGACACGATCACTGTCAGATCGTCCTTCTTCCCTATCATCGACCTATCCATCCTATTCTCCGTCCTCTCCCGCAGCCTTCCTCCAAGCCGCTCGACGAGGGCCCCGTCCCCGAAGTCACCGAGTACCTCCTCCGACATGGTCTCCAACGCCGATCTTCTCGCGCGGTCGTCTGAGCCCAGGTTCTCCCAGAAGCCGTCGCTTCCTGCCACGATGATGTCGCCTGATCGCGCACACCTCTGCTGCAAGATCTCGTTCTTCCTGTCTCTGTACTGCCGCATGTGCCCTTGGTCCATCCCCGCCTGGTACGGAGGTCTCTCGCCGTTGACCCGCGGAGAATGGAAGCGAGGGGGCGACAGGTAGTCGCAGCGAACCCTGTACAGACATGTCAGCGACCCGCGGCTTGCTGTCAAGACCACCCTTTCTCTCTCTCTCTCTCTCTCTCTCTCTCTCTCTCTCTCTGTTTGTCTCCCTGTCTCTGTCTCTCTGTCTCTCTCTGTCTCTCTCTGTCTCTCTGTCTGTCTCTCTCTCTCCCTTCCTCCCTCTCTCTCTCTCTCTCTCTCTCTCTCTCTCTCTCTCTCTCTCTCTGACCTGCGTGGAGAAGCGTCCAAGGTCAGCAGCGCCCACTGGCTGTCGCCCAGCTCGAGAGCATCGATCATGATCTCGTCCCTGCCTCTTCCCGGTGTGAGCCGAAGCGCTACCACAGTCGAAGACGCGATGTCGTGACAGCCAGAGGTCTGAGGCATGCGCATCCTCTGGATGCAGTACTCAAGCTTTTCAAAGAGATCGCCGTCCATGTTGACAGGCCTTGCCATGCTCTCTACAAGCTTCCTCGCAAAGATCCCTGACCGATAGCCTCCCTCTCCTACCCCGTCACAGAGCACAGTCAAGCTGTCTTTGATCTCGAAGGCGTCATCATACGGCAGCCAACCGTGATAGCGAGGGTCCATGTGCTTGCCTGGCTTGCCCTTGAGGCCCACGTACGCCTCGCTGAAGATGCAGCTTCCAGGCTCTGGCCCAGGTGCCTGGGGCTTCGCCAGCCGCGGGTCACGGGCGGGCCGTGCGTACGGCCTGGCGACTGGGAGGTCAGCTCTGGAGCTTGGGGATGCTCCGCTCTGGGCTGGAGGGACGGCCAGATGACTCTCTTGAGCAATCATGCCGTCTTGGAGCGCCATGCCGTGCATCTGCCGCATGGCTGTCTCGGGAGCTGTCCTCTGCTGCTGCTCGCTGTGTTGTTGCCTTGTACGGGGATGGAGCTGCGACAGCTCCTGCTGCCTCGCATGAAGGTCATCCTTGAGCCTTGCTATCATCTCCGACAACTGTTTGTTGAGCGTCTTCTCTTCCTGCAGAGCAGCCTGAGCATCTGCCCGCTTTGTCTGCTCGCGTGCGAGGCTGGCTTGAAGCGCTGTGAGGCGCTGCTGCTGCTGCTGCTGCTGCTGCTGCTGCTGCTGCTGTGCAGCTTGAGCCTCCAGCTCCATGCGTGTCTCTCGTTCACGGCTTAGCTCCGTCTGCAGTTTCTGTATGCAGGCCTCGAGGTCCCTGGTGGTGTCGATGGCTTGCTGGGCGGCAGCATGGGCTTGCCTCTCAGCCTCAAGGCTCTTGCGCAGCTCGTCAATCTGCTCCTTGGCTTTGCTTTGGGTCGTTTCTATCGCGCCGGCCATGTCCTGTACCTCTCCAAGGCCGTCTTGTAGCGCCTGTGCGTGTAGTTGCGACTGAGCGGCTTGCTTGTGGAGGGCGGACTGGGCGGTGCGCCGACACTTGAGCAGCAGCTCATGATACCTGACCGACTCGATCTGGTACTGCTTTGTCTTCTTGGTTTGATCTTCAAGCCTCTGCTCGAGTTGAAGGATCTCTAGCTTGAGCTCTTCCATGCCGAGCTCCTCGTCCTCACCGTCGGAGATGATGATGGCATCGCTCGCTTCATCCCCGGGCAGAGCGCCTGCGAGGCTGTCCTGATGGCTACCCGTCCTGCTTCGTTTCCTGCTTGGCAGCATTCCAGTCTGATGAGAGCGGGTGGGAAAGTGCAAGGCGATTTTGTAGGGATGGACCGGGAAGTGGGGGATGGGAGAGGAAGGGGGTGGGGTGGTGACCGTGCTGGACAAACGCGTGGTGCTGAGAGGGAGAAAGACGGGTGACCGCAGGTGAGTAGATCCGGAGAGGGTGGGGGTGGTATATGCTGTGAGAGTCTCTAGGCAGTAGGAGAGGCTAGTGGGGGGTAGGAGGGGTGGTAGGAAGGCTAGGGCCCGGGGTTTCTTACCACTGATTCAGGTTCAATCTCGGTACTAATGAAATGCTTTGAGTCACTACGGTACCATCAAAGGCGTTGAGTAAACTTGTCGAAGGCGAGGCGGACTCGCCTGGCTTCCGAGGCTGCCCAAGGTTGTCCGATCTATGCGATCAGTTCCAGTGATTGCGGGGCCCGGCAGCCGGGAGACTGCCCGGCATCCTGTGACCGGGCACTCAGTGTCGGATCAGTTGCGCGCGGCGGGCCCCACTGTACGGTACTTGACGATCCCCCTTGTGACCTCGTTGACGAGGTTTATGTCACAGCCGCCCTCGCAAAGCCCCTCCATGCGGACCTCAACCCCTCTCTGCTGCTGCCCTCGACACATGCGAGACACGATCACTGTCAGATCGTCCTTCTTCCCTATCATCGACCTATCCATCCTATTCTCCGTCCTCTCCCGCAGCCTTCCTCCAAGCCGCTCGACGAGGGCCCCGTCCCCGAAGTCACCGAGTACCTCCTCCGACATGGTCTCCAACGCCGATCTTCTCGCGCGGTCGTCTGAGCCCAGGTTCTCCCAGAAGCCGTCGCTTCCTGCCACGATGATGTCGCCTGATCGCGCACACCTCTGCTGCAAGATCTCGTTCTTCCTGTCTCTGTACTGCCGCATGTGCCCTTGGTCCATCCCCGCCTGGTACGGAGGTCTCTCGCCGTTGACCCGCGGAGAATGGAAGCGAGGGGGCGACAGGTAGTCGCAGCGAACCCTGTACAGACATGTCAGCGACCCGCGGCTTGCTGTCAAGACCACCCTTTCTCTCTCTCTCTCTCTCTCTCTCTCTCTCTCTCTCTCTCTCTGTTTGTCTCCCTGTCTCTGTCTCTCTGTCTCTCTCTGTCTCTCTCTGTCTCTCTCTGTCTCTCTGTCTGTCTCTCTCTCTCCCTTCCTCCCTCTCTCTCTCTCTCTCTCTCTCTCTCTCTCTCTCTCTCTCTGACCTGCGTGGAGAAGCGTCCAAGGTCAGCAGCGCCCACTGGCTGTCCCCCAGCTCGAGAGCATCGATCATGATCTCGTCCCTGCCTCTTCCCGGTGTGAGCCGAAGCGCTACCACAGTCGAAGACGCGATGTCGTGACAGCCAGAGGTCTGAGGCATGCGCATCCTCTGGATGCAGTACTCAAGCTTTTCAAAGAGATCGCCGTCCATGTTGACAGGCCTTGCCATGCTCTCTACAAGCTTCCTCGCAAAGATCCCTGACCGATAGCCTCCCTCTCCTACCCCGTCACAGAGCACAGTCAAGCTGTCTTTGATCTCGAAGGCGTCATCATACGGCAGCCAACCGTGATAGCGAGGGTCCATGTGCTTGCCTGGCTTGCCCTTGAGGCCCACGTACGCCTCGCTGAAGATGCAGCTTCCAGGCTCTGGCCCAGGTGCCTGGGGCTTCGCCAGCCGCGGGTCACGGGCGGGCCGTGCGTACGGCCTGGCGACTGGGAGGTCAGCTCTGGAGCTTGGGGATGCTCCGCTCTGGGCTGGAGGGACGGCCAGATGACTCTCTTGAGCAATCATGCCGTCTTGGAGCGCCATGCCGTGCATCTGCCGCATGGCTGTCTCGGGAGCTGTCCTCTGCTGCTGCTCGCTGTGTTGTTGCCTTGTACGGGGATGGAGCTGCGACAGCTCCTGCTGCCTCGCATGAAGGTCATCCTTGAGCCTTGCTATCATCTCCGACAACTGTTTGTTGAGCGTCTTCTCTTCCTGCAGAGCAGCCTGAGCATCTGCCCGCTTTGTCTGCTCGCGTGCGAGGCTGGCTTGAAGCGCTGTGAGGCGCTGCTGCTGCTGCTGCTGCTGCTGCTGCCTCCAGCTCCATGCGTGTCTCTCGTTCACGGCTTAGCTCCGTCTGCAGTTTCTGTATGCAGGCCTCGAGGTCCCTCGAGGTCCCTGGTGGTGTCGATGGCTTGCTGGCGAGCTTGCTGGGCGGCAGCATGGGCTTGCCTCTCAGCCTCAAGGCTCTTGCGCAGCTCGTCAATCTGCTCCTTGGCTTTGCTTTGGGTCGTTTCTATCGCGCCGGCCATGTCCTGTACCTCTCCAAGGCCGTCTTGTAGCGCCTGTGCGTGTAGTTGCGACTGAGCGGCTTGCTTGTGGAGGGCGGACTGGGCGGTGCGCCGACACTTGAGCAGCAGCTCATGATACCTGACCGACTCGATCTGGTACTGCTTTGTCTTCTTGGTTTGATCTTCAAGCCTCTGCTCGAGTTGAAGGATCTCTAGCTTGAGCTCTTCCATGCCGAGCTCCTCGTCCTCACCGTCGGAGATGATGATGGCATCGCTCGCTTCATCCCCGGGCAGAGCGCCTGCGAGGCTGTCCTGATGGCTACCCGTCCTGCTTCGTTTCCTGCTCGGCAGCATTCCAGTCTGATGAGAGCGGGTGGGAAAGTGCAAGGCGATTTTGTAGGGATGGACCGGGAAGTGGGGGATGGGAGAGGAAGGGGGTGGGGTGGTGACCGTGCTGGACAAACGCGTGGTGCTGAGAGGGAGAAAGACGGGTGACCGCAGGTGAGTAGATCCGGAGAGGGTGGGGGTGGTATATGCTGTGAGAGTCTCTAGGCAGTAGGAGAGGCTAGTGGGGGGTAGGAGGAGTGGTAGGAAGGCTAGGGCCCGGGGTTTCTTACCACTGCCATTCAGGTTCAATCTCGGTACTAATGAAATGCTTTGAGTCACTACGGTACCATCAAAGGCGTTGAGTAAACTTGTCGAAGGCGAGGCGGACTCGCCTGGCTTCCGAGGCTGCCCAAGGTTGTCCGATCTATGCGATCAGTTCCAGTGATTGCGGGGCCCGGCAGCCGGGAGACTGCCCGGCATCCTGTGACCGGGCACTCAGTGTCGGATCAGTTGCGCGCGGGGGGCCCCACTGTACGGTACTTGACGATCCCCCTTGTGACCTCGTTGACGAGGTTTATGTCACAGCCGCCCTCGCAAAGCCCCTCCATGCGGACCTCAACCCCTCTCTGCTGCTGCCCTCGACACATGCGAGACACGATCACTGTCAGATCGTCCTTCTTCCCTATCATCGACCTATCCATCCTATTCTCCGTCCTCTCCCGCAGCCTTCCTCCAAGCCGCTCGACGAGGGCCCCGTCCCCGAAGTCACCGAGTACCTCCTCCGACATGGTCTCCAACGCCGATCTTCTCGCGCGGTCGTCTGAGCCCAGGTTCTCCCAGAAGCCGTCGCTTCCTGCCACGATGATGTCGCCTGATCGCGCACACCTCTGCTGCAAGATCTCGTTCTTCCTGTCTCTGTACTGCCGCATGTGCCCTTGGTCCATCCCCGCCTGGTACGGAGGTCTCTCGCCGTTGACCCGCGGAGAATGGAAGCGAGGGGGCGACAGGTAGTCGCAGCGAACCCTGTACAGACATGTCAGCGACCCGCGGCTTGCTGTCAAGACCACCCTTTCTCTCTCTCTC